TTCCTCTACAGTAGGTCGACTGTTTAAAAGCGGGTTTGGAAGATTTGGTCTTGGACAGGTAACTCTAGTTCCCACAGATCCTTTTTGTAACTTACCTACTGCATATATTTTATTAGTTTTAACGTGTTCAACTTTGTTTTAAAAAATACTACAGGCAAACCCAAGTCTAGCAGACCAAAATGTCATTCTGGCTTTTGTTGTTGGAGGCATTAATGGTGTTGAGGTCTGAATTTCTTTCATCTTCCACGGTTTTTTCTTTCTTTGAAAATTTTCAGTATTCCCATGTATAATCGTCTTGACTAACGAGATGATTCGCTAAAATTTCCAGTTCTTTTTTTATAAAAATTTTCCATAAACCCGAATCAAAATGACACATTGTTTTGTTGTTGATGGTTGCAAGGTACAAGAAGCACACGAGGCATTGTCAGAAAGCGGAAGACCGATATCGAGTTAATTCTCGGTGGAACCACTTTTCTAACTCCCGATGACATGCTTGATTTGCTATTGGGACAACCTAGTTACATTTGACTTCTCTCTCTCTCTCTCTCTCTCTCTCTCTCTCTCTCTCTCTACCTGTCTAACATAAGCTAAAAGTTTTCATGTTCCTTTCCCATGGTTAAAGCATAAGTAGAGTCTTGATGTTTGTTTGATACACGTATCATGATGTATTTAGCGTAATTGTGTGTCTGGTTTTTAATTTATTTGTTCATACTAAATGTTTGGTATTTGGAAATCCAATGACCTTCAAATGGATATCGAACTTTTATCCAATTTCAGTTATCATCGGAAATTGTTGTTTTTCAGTGTTTTTATGGTTACTTATACGCTAAAATTCGAATGGTTATGAGTATTGTTTTGAGGAGATGAACAATATATCAAAATTAGCTCCGTCGAGGATCGTGGGGGGAGATTAAAGCACTGAAAGATAAATTTTTGGACGACAGACGAGGACAGTCGAATGAGTTGGTAGATAGATAAATGGGAAAGAAGAAATGGCCAGAATGAAGTGGTGAGGAAACTGGTGTACTGTTTTCATAATATGAATCCATGGATGGTTGTTTTTGTCATCTCAGCCGTCCAATTTTGTGTAATTTAAGAGGTAACAAAAGCTCCATTACAAATTTTGAGGAGAACATATTTTCGTGTTTAACATAGGACCCTGCAAAATACGAGTAAAAGGCTCATAAAACCCACTTTTCTTTAGTGTAACCAAATGAGTGGGAATGGGATGGATAATGAGGCAAAAATAGGTCACCATTCGAATGTTGAATTAATTTTGGGTCGCTACTTGAAAGTACAAGAATCAATAATATTAGGGTAAACTACTTATTTAGTACCTAAAATATCAGTTTAGTACTTAAACTTTTATTTTTTTCAAAATCATACCTAACGTTTAGTTTTCATTTCATTTTAATACCCCTCTGTTATAAACTTAACGAGTTTAGTACCTAAACTTTCAGTTTTTTTCAAAACTTAACGTTAAATTTTGAACAGAGGTATTAAAATGAAACAAAAACTAAAATTTTAAACGGCGGGTATTAAAATGAAATGAAAACTAAACGTTAAAAAAATAAAAGTTTAAGTATTAAACGAACTGATAGTTAGGTACTAAACACAAAATTTACCCATAATATTATAAGATACTATTCAGGAAAAATGGAGCTTTTAGTATTAATTTTCAGTCCATCAATTTTTATGATGTTGCATTTAACATTATAATAGTTCAACGACTACAACAATTGGTTTAATCATGTACAATAGTTATTCTTTTGAATTATGTTACTTTGCAATTAATGGGTGAAATAATTAATAAATTTTATCAAATCCATAACTAGGAAATGTAATATCGTCAAAACACTTTGTTAATGAATTAATTCGGTAATAAATAAAAGTTAAATTGAAATTGCTTCATCATAGAACTTTATTAATCCTAAAAATAAATAAACTTATTTAATATAAATACTTTGAAATTTCCATAACATATATCATATTGATTTTAACCATACCATAGAATTTAAATTAAATACAAACAGTCTAAAATAAATATAATAACATTGTAATTACCATTTCCTTTATCAATATACATGATAATTTTTATTTAATACATTATAACATTGTATGTTATATAAAATATATTCTTATAATGCATGCATGCAAATAACTTTCTAAAATAAATATAATAATAATTATAATTTCAGAGTAAGCTAATTTTAAAACCTTCTTGGGGGTGATTGGATCATGGAATTCAATATTCCTGGTGGGATTTTTTCCAGATTCAAATTCCCACGTTTGGATGGGAAATATTCCCAACAGTAAAAATTTTCCTCTTTTTAGGGTGCGTTTGGTTCACGGAATGTAAGATTACCAGTGGGAATAAAAGATTACCAGGGAATAGGATTATTGGGAATGTAGTATTTGTGTTTGGTTGGTTTAGCAGGAATGTAAGATTACCATGTTTGGTTAAAGGAATAAAGATTATTGGAATGTATATTGACCAAATTGTCCTTATTATATATTTGTATAATATTACAAGTTGTAAAATATTTATATATTTTCTTTAAAAAATTAAATTCATAATATTTATATAATTTTTTTTTACAAAATTAAAATATAAAAAGGTTTAATGAAAGGGTAAATTTTTTTAACCCCTGAACTTCATATAAAATTTTAATTATAGACTTTTTTTTGTAAATCTAAAATAATTTAAGGATAAATTTAAATTTGTAATTTAACTTTCGTAGAATTTTTATTATTCAATGACAGAAGAATGATATTTTTGAAAAAAATAAAAATTTAAGCGCATTTTAGTCCAAAACGCCGGTAATGTTACAATACCTAAGGGAAGGGAGGTAATGACATTCCCGGTAATATACCCCAAAAAATCTACTATTGGTAATAAAACATTACCGGGAATGAGATTCCCGGCCAATCAAACATGGGAATGTGGGAAATCCTTGAAGCAATCACCCCCTTACGGGAATGCTAATCCCATGTTTTTCTTAGGTATTTTTGTTTCCCTTCAACTTAGACTAAAATGACCTTGAAACAAAAGATTTGTTTCAAAAATATCATTACTTTTATTTAAAAGCTATAATCTTTTGTTTTCACAAATTTTTTTCAAAATTTTTATTCACAAATTATCATAACTTTTAAAATTAATTAAGTTTAAAAGAATATATGGTATTTACACTTTTAATATGCCCATTTATCTTTTAAATATTGGAAAAAAATTATATAAGTTTTATGAATTTAAATGTAATAAAATATATATAAATTGAAAATAATACAATAAATATTTTCTATGAATTTTTATATAAATATTTTCATTCCCGAAGGTAATGTTACATTTCATGAACCAAACGCTCCCTCATGGTAATGGAAATGTCATTCAAAAGTAAGAGTAAGAACATAGTCCATTTTCCTCTACAGCATCTGTTTGCGTCTGTATCTATTGTTGTTCATGATAAAGATACAGCCCGAGACCGAATCGAGCACAGGCCCTGCAGAATGCTATTTCTTCGGCTGCACCCACCGGATCTTCTCCTATGCCGATGTCGCCGCTTGATACCGTCCCTGTAGACTCCCGATGTGCCTTCACAACAGCAACAGCAAATACAAACATATTAACCAATAATATCACACACCTTCACACAAAGGTCAAGCTCCTATCCATTACTATTAGTAAGCATTATTTACACAACCTATAGATGGGTCCTACACATATGTATGGTAATGATTAATTATTAGGTAATGATTTACTCAACACTTCACACAAGCATCATAAAGTCGAAGGACTATAACAAAACTGAAACCAGACTAGTTGTAAAATGGGAATTCAGAAGTAATCCACCATCAGTACATTCATTTTTTCCCTAAACATATTTGTAGGAACAAACCTCCCATATCCATGATTAGAAAGAAATGCCCTTATAGTTTAGCAGTTCTTTCGACCGATGGGATTTAATTGACATGTTTTGAAGTTTGAGATCAATGTAAACTATGCCATCAAGTTCGAGACAATTGATGTTTAATTGAACTAAAATTATATTTAGTATTTTACAATTACATTAGAGTTTAGTATCTTGGGTTTGTTTTCCTTATACTTTTATGTTTTGCTTTCAAGCCAAGTTCGATCAGTTTTCAATGGGGGTCAAGTAAATTCTCAGACATCTTACCTTGGATAGTGTGATGCAATTAAGGAATTCTATGTATGAGGCTTATGTTTTTTTTCCTTTTCTTGGTTGTGTAATGCAATCAAGGAACCCAAGGTATGAGCCTTAGGGATCATTTGGATTTTATTTCCCTTTTGCTTTATACCTATGAAGCTAGTTTGAGAATTTCATATGGATCCTTCATACGACCACTAGTTAATTTTTAATTTAATGTCTGGAATTTAAATGAAATATTGATTTATTTTCTTTAGATAAAATATCAATTTGACTCTTAAACCAAAAGGTTAACTAAACATTTATTACATAAATTATCAATTTTGGTATGTTTTAATATTTAAATTTTCAACTTTTTAAAATCATACTTGATGTCTAGTTTTCATTTCATTTCAATATTTCATCATTAAAAATTTAACACTTTAATACCTGAACTATCAATTTCGATATGTTTAATACCTAAATTTCAAAAAAATTTCCAAAAATTAACGTTAAATTTGAATTAGTACTAATACGAAACAAAAATTAAAGTTTTTAATGACGAAATACTAAAATGAATCAAAAACTAAACATTAGGTATGATTTTGAAAAAATAAAAGCTCAGATACTAAAATAGTCTAAAATTGATAATTTAGATACTAAACACGTAATTTAACTTAAAATCTAAAACATACAAAATAAATAACAAAACTCATATCGCAATCTCCAACGTATGAAATAAATAAATCTTGACAATTTAGAACTTGATTAATTAATGAAAAGGAGGCCATTGATTAATTGAAAATTTTCATTTTTAGTCCCTCACATCTATAATAATAAATCTTGAGACCAGTATTCTCTATAAATAGTTGGACATATCCAAGCAAAACATGCATTCAAATGACAAATTGATTCTCTGCCAAGGGAAGACCAGGAAAGAGATCAATAAACATAGCTTGCTACCATGAACAAATGCAGCTTTCTCGTACCGAACTTCACACAGTTCGATACACGATCGAGGCATGAGTACAACGAACCAGCTAAGCTCCAAGGCTCACAATAATTGACTTTCCCTATCATAATATGTTATGCAAGCAATTTTGACTGTATCCACCAGGAAACGATCGTCATGCAATCTATCCGAAACAATTAAGGTCCATAAATGGATAACCGATTAACTGGAATGACTAAATGATTTCGAGTTCGGGCCACACAAGTGCACAAACTAAGACATTTGTTAAACAAAGAAATCTTCTGCAGCCTGTGATGCAGTCTTACCTCACCTAACCTTCTTCTGGCTTTGGCTCTGCACCGCGAGACAAATTTTCTTCCAACACCGGATAGCGATGAGCGAGGGTATCAGAATCCAGAAGGAGTTTGCCAAAACATAGTATGCATAGTAATAAAACGGGCTAGCAGAAAAGTTGTCTCCCTCCAAGATAGCTGTTATGAAATATACAAAAGTTCCATAGAGCTGCCCCAGGGAGATGGCAAACTGAAGTATGTAGCTATATCCCTTTCCTTTGGCGATAGCATACCTGCCAGATTAGAAAACAACATTTTACAACGAGAATAATCGACGGGAACGGAAAAAAGGCGATGAAAAATTCAATATATGGAACTGTGTATGAAGGCATGAAGCATACACTGCTAAAAGGCAAGGTGGACCTTCCAAAACTGCTGTCATTCCTTCAACAGCCACAATTGCAGAATCTCTTCCTGCATATCTTGAGTCACCTTTGCTGTATTCTTTCCCTGCGATTTAATCGTATTCGTATGAATCAATTTCCCACTTAAGCACTTGCAAGGTAGGAACTATTAATATTTATCATAAACTAGAAAACCATAAAAAAGGGAACTTACAAACTTCAGCTAGATAAAATCCAGTCTTGTCTTTGTAGAATTCGGGAGAGAATGCAAAATAACCTTCGAGAACGATGTGCGTAAGTCCCGTGAAAGCCCACCAGCACATGAGCAAACTATCGAGTTTCGATATGTTGCGCGATCTCCCTGGTAGAACAAGTCAATATTTAAATGAAACAAGTTTACAATCCATTCGAAACTAACATGAAGAAGAAGACACATTATCGATCATGTCTCGGATCAGTGTTACAATTTCTTCTATAAATTTCTAAAATACCAAATAAGAGATGTTTCTACTTAGCTTATGCTCCATTTGTACCTAAACCTTTAAGGCCCTGAATCAAGAACAAACCTTTTAAGACCTGTTCAGTAAAAGAGCTGAACAACAGATTTTTTGAATCTGCTCAAATAAATAGGGGTGAGCAAAACTCTACTAAAAATATTGGCTTTTTCGATTCGAATTGTCTGACTCGAAAAAAATTCAAATTCAAGTTATAAAATAGAACTAAAATAACTCAATTTTTTTAGTGATTAGTATATTGGTTTTCAAGTATATATATATATATATCACTGAATGAAAAATATGAAGAAATATAAATGATTATAAAAAACCGTTTAAATTAAAATCAAATACTACCGTACTATTATAAATATTTATAATTAAATTTAAACAAAAAAATCGACTAACTCAACTTTACTCAATTTTATAAACTTCATTTGACTTGAAACAATTTCAAAAAAAGTTTAAATTATAAAATAAGATTAAATAACTCAAAAGTTTTTGAATCGACTCGATTGAATGCCCTGTAAATAACAGTTCAGGGTGATACAATTGCTCAGAGAAATCGTTATTTAAACAGGTCCAAAAGGGATTTTGATCCTTGATCGAATTATTTGAAAGATTTGATCTTGAATCACTCAAAAGTTCAATACCAAATTGAGGATTAATTCCCAAAGAAAGCATAGTATAACACAGTTTCAGTCTCTGAGTAGATCCATACTCTTGAGAAGTAGTTAACAAGTACAAAAAATAGTCAACCCATTTTCAGATGGTGCTAAATTCAAACCCAAAGGAATCTGAAAACATAAAAATCAGCAGAATCCGTACTGAAAATGAAGGTATTTTGATCAGAAACGGAGAAAAAGAAAGAGAAAGGAGGACAAACCGGAGAGCAACCAGACAAGCGAGACGACGAGGAGAGAAGAGAGGCCATAAACGCCGACAATGGTGGACTGAGAGAGGGAGACGGGCACATATCCGGGCAGTTGCAGATCTCTGGGCACATATGGATGCTCCATTCTCAACTCACCTCCTTTCACTACTCAACAATTCAACAACCGCTCTAAAACTCGATTCAACATTTACATATTCTGATCTGAAAAATAAAGAGTTAATTTCATCCTATGTCCCCAAATTATAACTATCATTTTAACTTAGTCCTTAATCTTTTGAATATTCTAATTTCATCTCCAAATTATGACTCCATTTTAAATGGTTGCTTACACTTTGAAATTCTAATCCCTAAACTATAACTCTCTTTCCAAATTAGTCCTCAAACTTTTGAATTTTCCGATTTTATCCAAACATGTAATTAGTTTCAACCATACTTTGACTTAAAATTTGTTTTTCAAACATATAATAATATAACTTGGCCCATGGATTGAAATAGAGGTCGGATAGCGGAATAGCATACGCTATATCACGATTGCGACAACGTCGAAACTGCTATCGCATAAAATAATAGTGTGGAGCGAAATCACACCAGTAATGGTGGATCGTGGGAGCAATTAAATGGATAGTAGCCAATCGCGACAATAGTGGATTGTTATCCCCTATTGTTTCGCTATTTTAATTTTTTTAAAAATAGTTTTTTTAAAAAAATAAATATTTTAGAAAAAATCACGACTACAATACACGTAATGACTATAATAACATTTGTTGTATTTGCAACTGCGATAAACAAAACGTGACCGCAATCGTATTTTAAATCCCTTACTTGACCTAACGATTTTATTAACAAGAGATGTCATTAGTATATACGATAGTTTAAGTTAAAATTAGAAAATTCAAAAAGTTTTGAAAACTAATTTAAAATGAGAGTTAATACTATGAAAACATGTAATATAATTAACTCTAAAATAAATAAAATCATAGGGTTTTTTTCAAAATTTTAGAAAATATAAAGGATATTTTACAGATTTCCCCACTATCATTATTCTTACTTTTATTTTACTCATTGAAATTTAAAACTTTTCGCTTTAATCACAAAATTTATTGCTCTTGTTTTGATCCATCCTCTCTGGAAAGTTAACGAAATTATGACATAAAATACAATACTAAAACGGAATTAATTTAGAAATTTTAATTTTATATCAAAACAGAGTCGTTTTAAAATTCAAAAAGTAAATTTAGAAAATTCTTTGTACTTTCTCTCCATCTTTTTCATAGATTTTCTTGGAAGTTATTCTTAGCTTTTACCGCTCACCAAACGCATGAGAGTTTCACTTTTCTGGAGAATTGATATGGGAGACTAGATTCGTACTCTGAAAGGTCGTGGGGATCGACAACTAATGATGAATTCATAAAAATTTTACAGGTCAGATTAATATAAACATAATAAAACTTGTATCTAAAATAATCCATATATATTTTTAATTTAAAAGTATAATAACAATTACATATATGGATTAAATCTAGAAAAAGTATATTAATTAGACTAATATAATTTTATTAACATAATTTATACATATTTATTTATACGAATGCAAAATTTTATATTCGGGGGTAAACTTGAACCTTTAAAATTTCAGAGGGCGAAAACATATTTTCAATAGTAAATGTATAGAAAAAATCTATAATCTATGATGATTTTAAATTTTAGGGGGACGACTGTCCCACCCGTTTTCCTCAGTCTATCCCTGATCACAGTATTGAATTCTTAATAATTTGCCCTAGTGTAAACAAATCATGCCCCTATATAGGTTAGGATCCACTTAGACATAGTGCAAAATTAAGAGTTTTACACATTTTTAGGACCATTGGATTGATGGAAATCACAACTACTAAAATTAACAATAGGAAATAAGAAGATATTCACTGGGGAAAAAGGATTTAATCTCAACATTTGATTTTTCCTTAATCCAATGGTCCTAAGAAGATGTAAAACTCTTAGTTTTACACTAGGTGTATATGTATCATACTGCTATATGGGTTAGGATCCACTTACACCAGTGTAAAATTAAGAGTTTTACACCTTTTTTGGACCATTGGATTGAGGGAAATCAAAGGTTGAGATTAACTCATTTTGTTCAGTGAATATCTTCTCATTTCCTACTGTTAGTCTCAACCTTTGATTTCTCTCATCAAGTGGTCCTAAAAGATGTAAAACTCTTAGTTTTACATTGGGTGTAAATAGATCATGCCCCCATGTGGATTAGGATCCAGTTAGACCCAGTGTAAAATTAAGAGTTTTATACCTTTTTAGGACCATTGGATTGAGGGAAATTAAAGGTTGAGATTAACTCCTTGTTTTTTAGTGAATATATTCTCATTTCCAATTGTTAATCACAACCTTTGATTTCCCTCAATCCAATGGTCCTAAAAAGGTGTAAAACAAGAGTTTTACACTGGATGTAAATGGATATATCCATGTATAAAAAAACAATGAGTTAATCTCAACATTTGATTTTCCTGAATCCAATGGTCTTAAAAAGATGTAAAACTCTTAGTTTTACACTAGGTGTAAATGGATCATGCCCCTATATGGGTTAGAATCCACTAACACAATATAAAATTAAGGGTTTTACACCTTTTTTGGACCATTGGATTGAGGGAAATCAAAGGCTGAGATTAACTCATTTTGTTCAGTGAATATCTTCTCATTTCCTATTGTTAATCTCAACATTTGATTTCTCTCATCATGTGGTCCTAAAAAAATGTAAAACTCTTAGTTTTACATTGGGTGTAAACAGATCATATCCCCATGTGGGTTAGGATTCATTTAGACCCAATGTAAAATTAAGAGTTTTATACATTTTTAGAACCATTGGATTGAGGGAAATCAAAGGTTGATATTAACTCCATGTTTTTTTAGTGAATACCTTCTCATTTCCTACTATTAATCTTAGCCTTTGATTTTCCTAAATCTAATTGTCCTAAAAAGGTGTATAACAAGAGTTTTACATTGGGTGTAAACGGATCCTCTCCCTATATAAAAAAACAAAGAGTTAATTTTAATATTTGATTTTTCTCAATCCAATTATCCTAAAAAGATGTAAAACTCTTAGTTTTACACTAGGTGTAAATGGATCCTACCCCTATATAGGTTAGATTCCACTTACATCAGTGTAAAATTAAGAGTTTTACACCTTTTTGGACCATTGGATTGAGGGAAATCAATGACTGAGATTAACTCATCTTGTTCAATGAATATATTCTCATTTCCAACTGTTAATCTCAACATTTGATTTCTCTCATCTAGTGGTCCTAAAAAGATGTAAAACTCTTAATTTTACATTGGGTGTAAACAGATCATGTCCTTGTGTGGGTTAGGATCCAGATAGACCCAATGTAAAATTAAGAGTTTTACACCTTTTTAGGACCATTGGATTGGGGGAAATCAAAGGCTGAGATTAAGTCTTTGTTTGTTTTCCCAATGAATATCTTCTCATTTCTTACTATTAATCTCAACCATTGATTTCTCTCATTGAATAATCCTAAAAAGATGTAAGACTTTTAGTTTTACACTGTGTTTAAACAAATCATGTCCCTATATGGGTTAGGATAGATCCGATATAATTAAGAGTTTTATACCTTTTTATGATCATTGGATTGAGGAAAATCCATGGTTATCGAAATCGGACCAGACCAGTCGATTAAATCGGTTGAACCGTGAACCTGTAGCCTGTCCGGTCCGGTTACCTCACAAAACCAGTATGGCAATGAACCGGCTGAAAATCGGTAAAACCGGGGTGAACCGACTGAACACCGACAAAATCGGTTTGAACCGCCGATTCACTTTTTTTCTTTTTTTTTAAAAAAAATTAAACCAAACGACGTCGTTTGTTCAACGAGCCAAGTCAAATTCGAGTATTGCTGAGCTCAACTCAAACTCGAAAACTTTAAAAGTAAGCTCAACTCGACTCAAAAACTCACGAGCTAAAAATTATCAAGTTCAACTCGAACTCGAAATATAATATTAAAACTTGAACTCGAAAAGGCTCGGACTCGAAAAAAAATTAGAAGTTCGATTGAAGCCTAAAATTTGAGCTCAATTGAAGCGAAAGAATAGTTCGCTCTGTGCTCACCAAAATGCTCCATGATTTTGAATGTCAAATTACCTCTATTATTTATAGAAGTAAGTTGAGATGCTCTTCTATGTTTCTTAGCCATGTGGGATTGTTTTTTTTTTAAATTAAACCAAATGACATCATTTGTTATGATTTTTTAAGCCTCAATTTTATTTTTTTGATTATAGTTATATAATTATATTTATTATTTAATATGTTTTACCTTAAGTATTATGTTGTAGTTGATTTGAATATTTTATTTCACTTGATTTTATGGTTTTTAATTTATATATGTTATGACTTATGATATTTTTATACATTTTAATATTGTAAACTTAAAAAAAGTGTTACATATATATTAATATTGCTTTGAATATTATGTAAAATTAAAAAAATATATTATTTTATATAAAATCCGGTTCAACCGCGGTTGAACCAGTGAACCAGTACCTTCACCGATTCAATATCCGGTCCAGTTTTAAAAACATTGGGAAAATCAAAAGCTGGATTTTTTTTAATTTTTTTAGTAAATATCTTTTCATTTACTATTGTTAATCTCTACATTTGATTTTTCTCATCCAATGATCAAAAATATACTCTTATATGGGTTTTACATTGTGTTTAAACAAATCATGCCCCTATATGGGTTATGATCCACTTAGATCCGATATAAATTAAGAGTTTTATACTCTTAGTTTTACATTGGGTGTAAGCATATCTTTCTCTCTCTATATATATATTTATGATCTATAATCAGTGACAGATCTATACTTGTATCCTGGTGGGTAAAATACTTACCCTAAAATTCAAATTTTCTCGAGATAATTATATATATTTTATTTATTGTCTTCACCTTGAAATTTTATTTATCCATACTTGTACAAAAATTTTATAATGTTAATATGTGCGTATTTACTCAAAACAATATTTATAAATCCGTCATTATTTTATTTGTTTATAGATCAATCAATCACCGTCTCAAACATAAACCGAAGAGCCATCAAGACCCATTGTTTATTTTCTAAAATGCTTCTGTC